CCTGCAGCTCCCTCATGCGGTGGACCCAGGCTCCAATGAGGGAGCCAGTTGTGGGGGCGCCTGGTTGCACCTGGTTGCGCCCCCTCAGAAAAATGTGCCATGGCCCTGGTCCCTCCACGCTATGTCACTGCTGCCGCTTCTCCTCACTTTGGCGACGGCGGCAGGTGGGCCAGGTGGTGGGACCTGCCGCCTCTCGATCCCAGCTGTCAGGTGTGCATGCAGGAGCCAAGCCCTGTGACCAACAGGACTTTGCAGGACTGGGGCCTTCTGAAGAGGCAAGGCGCTGCCACACAGGTGAGGCTGATTGGTAACTCACTGCACCAGGGAAGGGATATAAGGTCAGCATTTCCCTTCATCTCTTTGCCACAGCAACACGTTCCCTGCCTTGGACTCCTTGCTTCTTGATCCCCGATCCCTGACTTTGTGACTCCTTGCTTCCTGACCCTGGAACCCTCGGCTTCTTGACTCCTGGCTCTCTGACCCTCGGACCCTCGGCTTCCTGACTCCTGGTTTCTGGACTCCTGTTCCTGCTCCCATCCCGCCATCTTGCCCCCGGTCCCGATGTCCCCATCCAGGACTTCGATTGCCCATGAACTGGACCGTGACACCAGCAGGCAATCGCCTGAGGCAATCGCCTTGCTGTGTCTGATGGTAGGGCCGGCTCTACCCTCAACTTCTGGAGTCTCCTTGCCAGGCTGGAGTGAAACCACTGTAGCCCCCTCACCATATGTTGTTGTTTTGTGTTAAGTCGGTCCGCTTCCTTTCATTACAACTTGGAGAGAAACATATAACATATATATCACTGTGGCTTAGATGTTCTCTGGGATCCAGCTCCTTCAGCACTGCTGTTTAGCTTCCTTTCCACCCTTTTGCTGTTTCTCCGCATGCTTCTGGTTTGCCTTAAGAGGCCTCCTTCCTTCCAGCAATCGAAAACAAAATAAAGCACATCTTTCTGTTGTGCTTTTTATCCTCCTTCCTTCAGCTGCAGTTCTTTTTTCCCTCCTGATGATGGAGCAGTTGGACAGTCAACAACGTGTATGGGTTTATTTTTACTCTGAAAGGGTTCTTCTTAGCAATTTAATTAAGGGTTTAAGCACATGCTTTGTACAAACACAGGTAGCAGAGGAGCATAGACAGGCATATACATGGAAGGGGGCCACTAGGCTGTTCTGTCTTAAAGGGGAGGTGTTCATTTTGAGTGAAGTGGAGCTAATCGTGCCGGTGCTTAACCCCACCCTCTGCGCTTGAACATGTGGGGAGGGGGAGCAACTGGGATGAGCCATTTGGAACAGGGAAATTGTAAGTGGGGAATGGCTCTCTGCCCAAGATGTCTCCCTCCTAAATACATTTTTCTTAAAAGGTGTTGAGTGCAAAGGTTTGCAACACCCTTCTAGCTGCAGAGGGGCAAGCCAGCTAGGGGTGGACAGATCCGGCAGTTTCAGCTTTACTCAGTTTTTCATTTTTTTGCAATAGCCAGTCCAGTTTTTGCACCATTTCTGCACCAGTGCGCAGAGTTTCAAAGTCCTCCGGAAAATTTGCCAAGGGCAATATATGCACAGTTTTATATGCTATTTTGCATCAAGTGCAAACTTCTGTGTGTTGTTTGCGTTGATGTGTGCACATGCAAATATATATTTATGCACAGGTTTGCTGCGTTTACCTAATAGCTGCTATTAGGTTTGCTGCTGTTAGGTTTTGCCAGACCGTTTCCCCCCAGGTATGGTCAGCACTGAGTTGTTGGTTGCTGTCATAAAGGAAAAGGGAGATGTGCTGGGTGTGTGTGTGTGTAGCGGGTCAGAGCCAACACTGGGGAAAACCCCATGGACAGGAAGAGTCCTGTTGTTCAGGTTCAGGCTTGTGTTTGGTTTTCTGATGAATTTTTATTGTTTTAGGTCTCATCGATGCTACACGTTTAAAACAGATATATCACTGTGTACAGTCAAGGCTTCCCCCAGGAATCATGGGAACTGTAGTTTAAAGGTGCTGAGAGTTGTTAGGACACTCACAGAGCTACAATTCACAGAGCGGTTGTGTCACTATTGTGTCACTCTGTTTACTGGAAGCTTCTGGTTTGCATGTCGCTGGTCCCAGGTACCATCGCTGGGCATCTCTGGGTAGGGCTAGGAGAGATCCCTGTCTAAAACCTCTGCGCGCCACTGTCAGTCTGTGTAGACCAGAGCTTTCCCAACTTTTCATGTCGGTGACACACGTTTTAGGACATGTATCATTTCGTGACACAGTAATTCAGTTGCGTGTGTAGGTCCCCAGGCCACCCCTCAAATAACTTCACACATAACACGTAATTTAGTTTTGGTTTTTGGGCACTATTTTGGCCACAACTTTATTAAAATACAAAATCAGTGAGTGGTTGTTTAGACATTGGTTATGACTATCTGTCCCCCCACCTGGGACAGAACTGACATCCCGAGGTCTGATCAGTAGCCAGTAGAAGAGAAAGGCAAACTGGGGGTCATTTGAGCTAAGCGTCGGACCCACGCCACTCACCCCAGCAGCTCCCCGAAAGCTTGCCGGCCCAGATCCTATGACAAGGATTCCCATGACAGGGATTGGGCGGCCCTGGTCCCATAACAGGGATTGGACGAAATCGTGGCAAGCCCCAGGATTCCTTTAATGGAATTCCTTTCAGCGCAATGGGAGGGGCAGCCCAGCCTGACCCCTCCACCACCAGCATATTATAACCAATGCCTAACCACAACCTTACAAGTTGTGACGAATTGCTGAGTAGTAGGCAAAAACCAAATGGCACAGCCAATCACCAAATGGCAAAATTCCTACTAGGCCCCTGCGCCAAGGCAGACGACCCCATGACAGGCAAAGCAAGGTCAACCGGAAAAGAGGGCGGGCGGGCGGGTGATCCGATGCACTCTGCAAAGAGAAAGAGAAACCAGAGTGCACCAATATTTAAAGACTATGGTCCCACCCACCCAATTTGCAACATACAATTTGCCCCAGCAACCCGGTTACCCAATCACAGTGCCAGGGAACAACTATTAACCTGCCTGGCAACAAGAGGCCTGGCCTGGTGGCCCACACCGCAACACGTGCTCTCATTTATTGGAGAACACGCTTTTTACTAGCAAACCAGAGATTAAATAAACTCCTTTCCAGGCCTGGGAGGAAGCACGAAGAGCTTTCGCGCGACACAGTTTGGAAAGCTCTGGTGTAGACAGTACTCAGCTATGTGTACCAATGGTCTGACCCGGTAGAATAGGGTTATCATACGTCGGGGTTTCCCCAGACATTTCCTCTTTTTCAGAGGTAAAATCACCATCCTTGTGGCATCTCTGGTGGTGGTGCAGCTTTGTGCAGCCTTCCTGGGGCCTCTATTGGCCTCAAGTTGTTTTCGGTGGCCCCCAGGTCTGGCGTGGCCTTCCCAGGGCTGCTCAACCTTGCATCATCTGGCGATGCAGCTTCTTGGTGGTGGCGCCCTCCCTGTGGTACACCGTCCCTTTAGATGCAGGGGCGTAGCAAGGGGGGTGCAGTAGGTGTGGCCAAAGCCGGGTGTTCCTACTGAGGCGGGTGACAAAATGGCAGGCGGCACTCACCGCGGGGCCTGCAGTGCGCCCGAATTACGCGTCTCTGGTGCTTGAAGGCTCCACGTGGTCCGCCCACTGCCTCCCCCCAGCTGTAGGGTGGCTGAGGCCCCACGGTGTGCCCCGTCCCATCTGTATGGGTGCCACACACCATGCCCCACCCCTATGGGTGGTTCATCCTGCCCCTGTGAGGGGTTTGCCCCAGGTGCCCAAGAGGCTTCCTCCACCGCTATTCAGACATCAAGGAAATAAATAACTATCTGACTTTAAGAAGACATCTGAAGGTAGCCCTGTTTAGGGAAGTTTTGAGGATTGATGATTTTAGATATGTTGTAAGCTGCCCAGAGTGGCTGGGCAAACCCAGTCAGATGAGTGGGGTATAAATAATATTATTATTATTATTATTATTATTATTATTATTATTATTATTATTATTATTTACTCGTGAGCAGGAGGCTGAAGGCAGCAAAGGTAAGAGAGAGGAGGGAAGGAGGGGGTGAGCAGGTGGGTGAGGAAGGGGTCAAAGTCAGGGAGGGGGCGAACGACAGAGATGGAGGATGGTGGTGGTGGGGGATGCCCCAAGTTTTTCTCACAAAATGTTGAAGGTATGTCATTCTCATTTTTAATTACCATTGTTACATATTTGAATGCACCTTTTATCTTTTACTGCCCAAACACTATAGCTACTATTTTTCTCCCCCCCCCCCCGGCGCACCTACAGATGTGTCCTGGCAAATGTGCCATATTTTTTGCTCTTCAAAATATGGCAGCTCTACGGTTAGAAGGGCAGCTTTGTATTAGGGGATGGGCTATGTGTCCGTGGTACAGCATCTGCTTGATGGGCAGAGCACCCCATGTTCAAATGCTGGGATCTCCAGGTACCGATGGGAGAGACCCCGTCTGATATCCTGCAAAGTCACTGCCAGGCTGAGTAGATAAGATTGAGCCAGATGGACCAGGCATCAGGCAAAGATAAGGCAGCTTCCAGTGTTCTGTTTTGTCCTGGCTTGTTCTGGCTTCTCTGATCCAGATCACTCTTTCGCCCTCAACTGACCCAGAGCTGCTGGCTCCCAGCTTGCTCCAGATTGTTCCCCAGCCCTGATAATGTGTGTGCACGCTAACATGGTTTTTCAAGATGCAAAATTCAAATGGAACTGGGAGAGAGTTTCAGGAGCAGGGACCGTGAAATGGGGACTGTCCCTGGTGGATAGTAAGCAGTTGGAGGATTTATGGCTGGCTTCCTGCATGTTTTCTAAGAAATGTGTCTCGTTGAGTTCAACGGCGCTTACTTCCAAGGAGGGATGGGGAGAAGTTCCATTCACTTTGCATTTAAGGGCTATGTAATCTGCAGTTCATGAATGGAAACCCAGCTATTCTTCAAACTTCTCTGAATTTTGCAGTGCTGTTGTCCAGCCAAGTAATGTCTACAGAAGTGCATATATTGGGATGAAAGGTGCATCAAAATGCATATATTAGTGAAAACAGAATGCAAAAATGCATTATATCAGGAGAAACTGCTTTGCCAAATGTGTGCATATTTGACAAAACTGCACACAAAAATGTGTCTGTTAAGAGAAATGGTCACTAAAGTGTTGCTGAATTTTTGTGAGGACTTGAAAAAACCCAAACTGATATGGAAATCGGAACTTAAGATTGGAAGAATGAGAAATGGAGAACAACTGACAGATTTGCTCATCCCTATTAAGCTTGCATAGCATTGAAACAAAAACTCCCGTTTGCGCTCTCTCTCTCACACACAGAAACCTAAACTGTGGTTCACGCAGATTTAAATTATGATTTGCACTCACTTCGTCCTTCTCACATGGCATCTGTTTAACTTTTTCTTTTTCTTTTTTTGAGCTACCTCCCCTTCCAGCAACTCCCCCTTTCCTTCTGACTGGCTGGTGTTAGGACCCAGCAAAGGAGTCTGGCTGGTAATGCGATATAGAAACAGAGTACCCAAATGGGACAAAGTTTGAGCAGAAAGCATGACATCATTTTGACTTTCTCTCCACCCAAAGAGGACTGGGATGGAGGTGTAAACTTCAGCCACCCAGTCTGTACGGGAAGAGAGCAACTCAGTCCAGCCCAGTTTCTGTGGGAAAGAGGAAGAACCGAGAGCCTGGTGGATAATCAGAATGGACCTCCTTCATTATTGATCAGCCCAGTCCTCACCCACCGGCTTCAGACAGAAACAAGATATTTCTAAAAAAGGGAGTGGAAGGCAGAAGGTGACGTTTGGGAATAAGATCTGTGGGCAGAAACCTGCACGTGTAACTTTCCAGATTCTTTCCACGGGATGGTACCGATTTCACTTAAACTATTCATCCTTGCTCAGTTCTTTGGAATTTAATTTACCAGCCACTGAAGTATTCCACCTTCAAAGAAAAAAAAAGCATTTCTTGTCGGGCATCGGCAAGGGATCACCTCTTCTCCTGTGAATGGATTATTTTATTTGATCCTGCCTGGGATATGTCCCTCCGAAAAGAATACAAACCTGTGCAGAGAGTTAATGTTTTGTGAACCGAGGAGAACTCACTGGAGAATTTGCTTTGGTTTTCACTTCCAGGACAGGAACTATGGAGAATTTGTTGTCCCTGTTGTGTTTCCTCTCCCTGCTGATTTTATTTCAGGTAAAGGACCCCCATGGAATTGACAGATTCACCCTCCACCTTTTCCCCGGTTTTTTTCCCTCCTTTGACACTTTTGCTTCCTTGTGCCATATTCATATAAATCTATTTTGTTTTCTTTGACACGCAGGTGTATGGAAACCATACCTGGCTACGCAAACACCCAGGTAAGGAACGTTTGGTTTTTGCTGGTTTGAAATGATTATAATCTTTGTAATTGCCACGACACCGCTATTTGTTGGCCGATGGCTTCTGTTTGCACAGGCTTGCTTGCTGACACCTCAAGCTATCTCTCTTCTCTGCCCTTCACCCTAAGGTCTCAGGGTAGATCAGAGCAGTATAATCATGGAATTAAAAGCATATAAAATCAGTACCTACTCTTATTTTCATAATTGTAAAACATTTCCAATCAAATGGAATATGTTAAACAAAACACAAGAAGGAAAATACCTAAACTACCCGGATTAGCTTGTACCTTAAGATTCCCAAGGCGCAGCAAATGTAGAGACCTGGTCTCATGGTGCAAGCAAATTGGAACAGATTGCTTGGGGTATCAATATTGTCCGGGTGCCAATAAACTAGTAAGCAATGTGAGAGGTTATGCTCCTTTAGTGGCTCAAAGGCACAGCTTTTTGGATCGTGAACACACTCCTGAAATTATAAGGACCAGTGTGATGTAGTGGATAAAGTGCTCGAGATCTGGGTTCGAATTCCTACTAAACCATGAAACCCATTGGGAACTATTGAGCTGGTAACTCTTTATTTATTCAAAGTTTAATTTCAGTCGCTTTTAAGGGCTGTGCCCTCACAAAGCAACATACAAACAAGAAGGAGGAAACATGTTAACGTGAAATAGCCATGTTAGCAAACATACAGGATGCTTTACAAAGCTTAAGCTAACCAGATTACGTTCTCAGTTGAAGGCAGCATTGAAGAGGAAAGTCTTCAACTCTCGTCTAAATGCATGTACTGGTGGGGGCAAGGCACAAATCAATGGAAAGAGAGTTCCACAGTTCTGGAGACACCACTGAGAAGGCCCCGTCTGGTGTGCATGTCAACCTAATCTACCTACCAAGTTGTTGTGAGGCTTAAAAATATTTTTCAAACCACCCAAAACCTCCAGCCAGTTGGAATTATAGGAATGTAGTTAAAAATAAATCTATAGATCAAAAGCAAAGGGGCCCTGTGTGCTGGCCCCTTCATAAAAATGTAACAAATGGGGGGCAAAACAAGAAGTACAATGCAGTTGCAAAAAGTCTTATGGTCTGGTGGATCTTATAGAGCGAAAAATACGGTACTTCCTTTTAATATTTGACAAGTATGAGAACACCACTTGTAACTGAACATTGGAGAGGCTCACGTCTTGCAGCTTAACACTTGGGAGCTGCTCTCTGCTGACTGGTGGCAGATGTGGTGACAATTCACCACAGAGTGCTCTCATACCAGGAGCAGTTTTGAGTGATTATTACAGTTCCCTTCTGATGTGTCCAGGAATATCCTGCAACCAGATGCTTAATGGTCTTACATTCCCATAAAGCAAACTGTGATAAATATTTCAACAAACTTTGCATTAATAGGGGTGCTATGCAGTTTTTGCTTGAATGCCTCAAGTAACGGTTATGAAATGGGCAATCTTGCAGTCAAAACCTTGCGCGGTGTTTCCATTTGAAGGCAAACCTACCTAATCTGCAGTTTGCGAGGCAACACGGGAACACACAGCTATCCTTTGAAAATTGCACTTTTCTCAATTTTGCAATGTGGTTCTCTAGTCAAATAATGTGTGCAAAATGCAAAGTGTGCATGAAAGTTCATAGCTTAGTGAAAATGACATAAAAAGATGCATATATTCTGGAACATTGCTTTCAAAAAAAGTGTATATTAGGCAAGATTGCATTTAAAATGCGTACATAAGGAGAAGCACACACTAAAATGATGAATTTTCATAATGGCTTTCTTAAGAAAATTGCAAAGTGATGTGGAAATGTGAAGAGCAGAGTTTAAGATTGGAAAAAGGAGGAAATGTGAGAAACCAACATCTTGCTCATCCTGACACCCAGGCTCCACCCTTCAATGCTATAAACCTTAATCAGGCACCCTTCTGAGATTTCATAGGGCAGTTAATCTATATTATTGCAGCCACAAGGATTAGAAACTTGCCTTAAAAATATGAAAACATTCTATGCACAACACAGACACAAACAGAACTAAGCTCCCCCAATTTAGAGCTGAAGAACATTTCTGTGTGTTAGAATCTCCTGGTGCAGGTTCTGCCATCTATTTCTCGCTCCCGCTCCCTGTGCGGCACACCTGGAGCCCTTGATCAGTTGCGGAAAGCTGAGCAGTGGGCTGGATGACAGCATCTGTGGACGGAGCAGGAAGGAGAAGCAATGGCCAGTGTGGTGTAGTGGTTAAGAGCGGTAGTCTCATAATCTGGGGAACCGGGTTCACGTCTCCACTCCTCCACATGCGGCTGCTGGGTGACCTTGGGCTAGTCACACTTCTCTGAAGTCTCTCAGCCCCACTCACCTCACAGGGTGTTTGTTGTGGGGGAGGAAGGGAAAGGAGATTGTTAGCCGCTTTGAGACTCCTTCGGGATATCAAATCCATACTACTACTACTACTACTCTTCTTCTTCTTCTTCTTCTTCTTCTTCTTCTTCTTCTTCTTCTTCTTCTTCTTCTTCTTCCCTGCCCCACCAGCTGACCCCTGGACCTAGTGCTGTAGACACTTAAGCAACGCAGTACAGTCATACCTCATGTTGTGTCCGCTTCAGGTTACGTGTTTTTGTGTTGCGTCCCACGGCAACCTGGAAGTACTGGAATGGGTTACTTCTGGGTTTCGCTGCTCACGCATGTGCAGACGTGCTAAATCGCACTGTGTGTGCGCGCAGACATGGCACTTTGGCTTGTGTCAGTTCTGTGTTACGGACGGGCCTCCAGAACGGATCCTGTCCGTAACACGAGGTTCCACTGTAGTACAATTGTACAGCATCTACCTGAATTCACACCTGTGACATAGGTTAAGCTGAGTTCCAATTCTCCCCACCCCAGAGGCAGGTGAAGAGTGAGACCTGCTGGCCATAGTGATCTTTGTGAGAGGCACAGAAAAGACTTGAGAGACTTTCTTGAATTATAAGTTTATGAATATGATTGTGGGGCGTAGGACCACTGAGGTAGAGCTGTGGGTTTTGGGGTGCAGGGGAAAAGATAGTGGTAGAGCTCTGCTCCATCTTGCCCCAGTGAGCAGGCTCCTTAATGAACTGGGAACCATACGCACAACCCCACTTGCAATGATCTCGGTTGCAGTTTCAGCAATGCCGAAAACTTGCTCCACGCTCTGCTGCAATTATGGTTGCTCTGAAGCTCAGCCTCAGCACGAGTGGCTGGTTTGCAGCTCACTGTTAAAAACCTCTCCAGATCTGTTCACGCAAATAACATCTGCTTTTTGTGGCTGGGATGGATACTGTAAGTGCCACATGTTTTATAGACTTGGAAAGTCCAGGCCAAGCCTTAGGCCGTTTCCTGGTACAAATCTTTTCAGAGTCTCCACAGGAGTTTTGATGCCCATTTCTTTTTTCTTTCTTTCTTTTAATTAACAACCGTATTTCTTCAGGATGTATTATCCTGCAAAGAAAGAGAAGAGGTTGACTCCGTTGCTGCTGCTGCTTTAATCCTGCTCCATACTTACTCTTTCTTTACTCCTACATCAAAATTAATGAGCTGAAGGATGGTCCTTAAACGGAAGGCTTAAAATGTAGAGTGGCTGGTCTCCCTTAGGAGAATGAAAAAAAATAATCAGTGAAGCAAGGACTGCCTTTGCCTTTCAAATGGTCCTTTAAAAATGCACATTCCATAAGGCCTTTCCTGAATGGGCTACTTCTCCCCTGATTGCTGCAAGTTCCTTCTCAGTGAAAGGAGATGTAATTTTTAAAAAAGAACGTTAAAGATGGTTTAATATTGCTGCGGTTCCTGTCACTAGGCAGCTCAATTCTATTGATTTTCTTTCTGTTTTTCTTTTAAAAAGGTTGTATTGGGTATGTATTGGCTAGTACCCATGCCACCACCAACACATTTCATTATTAGCATGATCCCAGGGCATGGCTAGGGATCACCATAAGAAAATGCCTCCTAATTTGTACGTGACAAATTTGAAGGGAGTTAATGGTAATGTTGGGGGGGGGCATTAGACATTATTTGCGGGCTTTGAGGGGGCTTATTGATTTGCTGCAGCAGTGACAGCATTCCTTTCCTTTTCTCTTTTCAAAATGACTGTCGGTGGAACTTAGACTCATAGAATTGCAAAGTTGGAAGGGACACCAACCCCCTTTAATGCAGGAATCACTGCTAAAGCATCATTGACAGATGGCCACTCAACCTCTCTTTATAAGTCTCCAAAGAAGGAAAATCCACCACCTTCTGAGATAGTTTATTTCACTGTCAAACAGCTCTTACCACTGGGAAGTTTCCCCTAATGTTTAGTTGGAATCTCCTTTCCTGTAATTTGAATCCACTGGTTTGGGCCTTACACTCCGGGGCAGCAGAAAACAAGCTTAGTTCATCCTCCATGTAACAGCCTTTAGATATATGAAGATGGCCTTCACATCTCCTCTTCTCCAGGCTAAACATACCCAGCTCCCTCAAGCATTCCTTGTAAGGCTTGGTTTCTATTCCACTTCTCTCAGTGGAAGCCCCCCCCCCCCAATGCTTCCTCAAAATGACATCGTGAGATCATTGCTAAAGGGACATGATGGGAATTGCTATTGTGCAACAAGTGCAGATTGGATTAGCAAACAGGGATGCGGGTGGCACTGTGGTCTAAACCACTGAGCCTCTTGGGCTTGCCGATCAGAAGTTTGGCGGTTCAAATCCCCTCAACAGGGTGAGCTCCCATTGTTCTTTCCCAACTCCTGCCAACCTAGCAGTTCGAAAGCAGGCCAGGGCAAGTAGATAAATAGGTACTGCTGCAGTGGGAAGGTAAATGGTGTTTCTGTGCGCTCTGGTTTCTGTCACGGTGTTCCGTTGTGCCAGAAGCAGTTTAGTCCTGGAGAAAGAAGGGTTGGGGGCATTGGGGAGACAAAGAGAGACAGGGACCCCACCCTCCACTTTCACTACCTCATAGGTTCTGCCATTTATGAGGCACAGGGTTTGAAATACCAGTGCAAAATGGC